TGTTTGCTGGGGAAAATGCTTTCATGTCCTTTGTCTCTACACAAAAATCCCTCAGCAGTCCTTCAGCCTTGCTGGCTGGATGTAGCCCACACGACCTCTCTCAAGCTAACTTCTCTCACTGCCTGCTTCTTCCCTCAGCAGATGTGCTGCGTTTTTGACATCTCTGACTTCCTGCACCAGTCACAATTGTCTTCATTTGCACAGCGTTATGCAGTGCCCTCTCAGGGACCCTTTGCCTGGCTTCCCAGGCCTTCCCCGGGAGGAAGCCTGCCTGGTGCCACAACTCTTGCATTCATCATGCTAGTAAAATGTGCATTGCTTGTACAATGTCGGGGTCTGCAGCTGACTCAAGTAGTAGCCAGGCCTTCTGGAGTCATGGCTGCTGTGAGCTCTGAGTGTCTGCACAACTGAGAATGGTGAAATGAATGCCAGGGAACCGATTCTTAGGCAGCCCTTCTCAGAGGCGTCCCTGGAACTTTTCTCTCAATAAAAGGTTTATATTTTTGCACATTAAGCTTGTGATGGGTGGTGTCTTGCTGACTTCTTAGAGGCCTTCAAGGCATCTTTCTTCTTATCCCTGTGCAAAGTACTTGCTTCTTTTTAATGGCACTAATCTCTTCAGCACACACACATCTTTCAGCCCCAACTGTGCACATGATTCTTTCAGACTAAAACTTAAGCTCTCCCAAATCTTTTTCCTTTGCGTTTTGCTCCCTTTTCTCACTATAAATCTGGCTAAAAGCAGTCAGATGTATATGCTACAGCCTAGGCTACCTTGAAATTTCCTCCAACAGGTCTGTGAGTCCATTAAACTCAGCCTTCTCTAAAGTCTCTGGGCAAGTGTAAAATATAGACAAGTTTTGTGCCCGAATGTAACACACATAGCCTCAGGTCCAAATCCCAATAGAGTCCTCATCTGAAACCTCCTGAGCCTGGCCTTTACTGCCTACATTCCTATCAGAATTCTGTCTTTCTGAGCCCTGAGCAGAACCCTCATACAGCTCTGTTTACATACTCTATGGCTTGTCTAGCCACAGCAATGACACCACTCCAATACTAAGCATTGTTTAGGGTCCTCTCAGGAACAGAATCAACATGGAAAACACACAGGTACACACACACACACACACACACACACACACAAATTTATTAGACGGGCTTACAGGATCAGAGGAGAGAGTCTACAATCTGATGCTATGTGTGCATCAGAGCACCTGAGGTTCCAGTAGCTGCTCAGTACAAGAAGCTGAAAGCTAAAGAAAGAACAAGAGATGGCAAAGATACAGTACCAGTCTGAGACCAAAGGCCTAGAATCTCAAGGGAGAGCCTGTGATGAAAGACTGAAGAAAGTAGAGTCTGATGTTCACAGGCAAAGGCACCAAAAGATGAACCAACCCAAGAAGAATAGAGCTTTTTAAAAGCAGGGTGACTTCCTCCTTCATCTTCCTCTTTCATTCCATCCAGGCTGCAAGTCTATTGGACAGTGCCACCCTCAGTCAGGTGGGATTTCCCCCATCAGTTCCCTGGCCATGAGGGTCACTGCTGGAAACCCCCGCAAACACTCCCAGAAGTGTGCTTGACTAATCTGCTAGGCGTTTCTTAAATTCATTTAAGTTGGCAGTCATGATTAGCAGTCACACCTGATCTCAAATTTCCAGCCTCCAGAATTCAGACAATGAGTTTTCTGTTATTGAAGCCACCCAGTATACGGCATCTTGTTACGGCAAACTAAAGTAAGATGACCTCTTACCTTTATTGTCTGGAGAACATGAGCCTCTTCTGTGAGCTTCTTCTGTGTTCCTACTTTGCTGTCCATGCTTAGAACAAGATATCTGTAGAAGCCCCTACGCCAGTGGGTGAGAGTGGATTCTAAGGTTGCTTTCACAAGTGTCAACTGATCAAACCCTGCAAGACGGTTTTGCCTGAACCCTAAATGACAAGAGTTCTCTGGGCGCATCTGGGGGTGGACTGTTCTGGACAGTTAGGGTGTACTTGAGTATCAGGAACAAAACCCAGTCAGTGCAGCAGTTGTCTAGGCATGGAGAAGAGGCAGGCAAGGTGTGTGATGAGCTAAGATTACCTTCTCTGGCACCCTTCAGGATAGGGAGGTAGAGTGGCTGGAAACACAAACTCCAGCCTGACTTCTGGGATTCTAATAGCTATAGCACTAACTCATGCAATTCTAGACTAGGCTGTGGATGTTCTTGTGTTTCCATTTCCTCATATGAGAATTGGGGATAAGTAGAGCCTGCCTCAAAATGCATGTGCACATGCATATGTTTGGGAGAGGACCTTGCAAACAGGAAGTCATATGCTGGCCTTTATTATTACCAGCTCCAATTCAGCAATGACTGTCCCTGCTTAGAATTATTCTCCTTGTAAGAAACACCTCAGGAACATCGGGCTGAAGAAAGATTTGGAAATCAGCAATCAGGAACCTTGTTGTGTCTTCAATAGCCCAAGTGGTCTCTGGAAAAAAATAAGACTTTTCAGATGATATATTTTAAAATAAAATTTAAGTCCACTCTAATAACATAAATCCTAATTTTGTGCCAAGAGGGTCATAAATGCCTTTTCTTTTCCTGTGATGTGCCACAGGAATTTTAAAAATTGCTAACTGTGATAACTACTCAAGAAACATCTCAAACCTCAGAGAAAGGTGTAGTGGTGCGAAAGGAGAGAATTGAGTCAGGGATGATTCCCTCCTTCTAGAAGGTGCAACCAATGTCTGCCTTTAAGGGAACCCTGGGAGATGCAGCAAAGAAGACTTTAAAACACAGTGAAGCCTGGAGAAAGAAGGAAGGGAGAGAGAGAGAGGGAGGGAGAGAGGGAGGGGGGAGGAGTGGGGAGAAAGTTAGCGAGGGAAAGGAAGAGGAAAGAAGGAATATGGAGGAAAAGGGGAGGGAAACCCAGAGAAGAAAGAAGCTTTCCCACCCATGACTCTTCTTGCATAAAGGCACTAGTGCCACTCTGTGGATTTTTGCAGGGTGACAGAAAGACCAAGACCTTCACAAAGTTCTTCTCTAAGCAGAGGGCAGAGGTGGGCAGCTGGGAGGACCAGCCCCCCCGCCTTGTGGACACCAAGATGGAACCGTCTCTCTGTATTCTCCCCGCTGTCCAGCACGCCTGAATCCCACATCCTTTGTTCTTCTGTGTACAAATAGCTGACTTTCCAAATGTTACCACTTCTGTTCAAGTTTAGCCATGTTCAAATTCTGCTTGCCAAAAAGTGTCCCATACTGTTAAAAAGGTTAAAAGTTGTCAAATTACTTCAGTGCAACTAATGTTCAGTACACCTATAAAGAAAAGTAAAACATGTTCTGATCATCAGGAAACTCTCAGATTTAAAAAGTATCATTTGTGTTCACTCTGGCAGCACATATACTAAAAAGCGATCATTTTCCACTGTAGGGAAAACAGGATAATTATAGTTAGGCTTGACTTATTTGATAAATTCTGTCAAATTAGTCCATAATTTATTCTGTTGCAGAAGTGTCCACTGAACTCTAGGACATATTTGATTATTTACTGTACTTAATCTTCTTGTTAGATGTAGAAATGTAAAACAAGTGGCACACAGCAAAAATTTTAAGTGGATTTTTTATTGTTTCACTGATTTTACTATAATTTGCTTCATAAAAATGGAGTTCTCGTGACATTTTTAAACTGTGCGTCTGGAGGGCCTATTGCATTAATAATACAAAATAATATAAATTAAAATACAATGATAGTAAGAAATCTTCCACATCTGTAGTACTCAATGATATCTGAATGCTTTCATATACATCGTCTTGATTCTTCAAGCAGCCTTTGTAACAGTCAATAAGGCAAAAGAGGATCAACAGAGCCTGACATTCACAGCCACATAAATAGGACATTTAAAACCTGGGCCTCCATCACCCATCAAGGGGCATTTCCATGCCATCCTGTTGTAAAGTAGACCCACGCTGTGTAGGTTACCATAGGTGACAACTGAAGAGTATATTATTTTACGAGTCTGTTTCGTGAGTTTCTCATTTGAATTTCTAAATATTCTTTATGATTGCAGGTATTTGTATTCTTACCTTCATATTATGCTAAAGAAATTTAGCTAGTGCAAAAAAAGTAGGAAGGAAATTTTAAAACTTCTCCCCGCTGTGCTTTTCAAGGTAGCTCAGTAACTGAGTGAAATAAAATGTTTTAAAAGGCTCTTATTATAGAAATCCTTGCTGCAATGAAGGTCTTCAGCTTGCTTTTCTAAAATCAAAATTTAATCTTGGAAAGAGACATAGAATGGGAATGAGAGTACAGTGATGTTTTAAAGACATACAAAAAAATCAACTTAGGAGTTTCATATTTGTGCATTTGTAACTCTCTTCGCTTCTATCCATTTTCTGGGCGGAGCACACAAACCCAGTCTATACTTGCTTCCACAAGGTCTGTGTTTAGGCCTCAGTTTGGGGTTCTCCCCACTGGGTGGAGCAAGTATCCAGGTCTTAAAGATCCAGCTCAGTGGTAGAGCACTTGCCTAGAATGTTCTCCTCACCAGCACTACCAAAAAACAACAACAACAACAACAACAACAACAAAAATTCTAGCTAAAACAGCATTTATATCTCTACATAATATCTGTCCTGCTGTCCTGGAAAATGAAGTTCATAGAATCAAATAACCTCATAAGTTAACTAAAATACACAATCACAAAAAAATTTTTAAACCTATGTATAGGCCTAAACAGGGAAAAAAATTCAGCATGTGGGCAACTGAGAATTTATCCTTTACTATTAGAATTGCAATTCATAATTTGCCCATTCCCCATCTGCAGGTTGTAAAAGCTTATCACGTCCTCAGTGGCAAATGCAGACACTGGTTGTGAAAGAAGTTCTTAAAGGAATGAGTTGGGGCTTCGACATCTTTTTAGGAGTTGATAGAGTCGATTCATCATTGTTGCAAACCATAAACATCTTTTGGGTTGATGGCCACAGAATGTATGTGGACCATATACGCATGATGTTTTATTGAAATGTGGGTGTTGGGTAAGTATTTATCAAGTGAACATGTAAATGATGAATGATGACTACTTGAGAAGACATTGGGAATTCCTGCTCCAGTGGCCCTGCCAATCCGATCTTCCTGCTGTGTTCAGTGGGATCTCAATTCCCAATCATCCAAAACTTTCCTTGGTCTATAGGAAGAACCACTGGCCTCTTCAGTGTAAAGCAGAAACAAGAAACCAAAGAGCAGGATTCTACCATTCTACCATTGGAGTCTACCCTTCGTTCTTAACCCAGTTGTCTAGCTCCCAGTGTGCCTCTCATTAAACAGGCTAAAATAAATTGTTTACCATGTTCAAAACACTGCATTTTTCACTCATTCCAGCTGCAAATTTTCAAGGCAGAATCCCAAGGGGATATGTGGTGAAGAGGGCCTACTTATAAAAGAGGTCACATAAAAATGTAAAAGCACACAAGACTAAATAGTCCATGCTATCCAGGGGGATGAGCTATGCAAACCAAGTGAAAATTAAAACTAAATTGCACACACTAATCAGCAGTGGGTAACACTTTTCACTTATTTGCATGCAATACAATTATCCTCATCCTTGCTGAACTCCCAGCATCCAGCTGTGTTAGTGCATCTCCTGGGAACAAGGTGCTGGGCTTTCTCTCCATCCTTGGTTGTGTGCCTGTGGATGGGGGACAGCAAATAAATAATCACTGCAGCACCTTTTCACTCTGAACACCTGAAATGAAAGCATTGCAGATCTGTGCACAACAACGTTCAGATCTCTCAGAAGGATAAGACACAGGATGCTTCAGGGGCAATGTCCCATTTCTAGAACATTCTATTTGATCTTGTGCTTCAGAAAAACACTTTGTGTGTATGTGTGTGTGTGTGTGTGTGTGTGTGTGCTATATAAAGAATTCTTCTTTTTCTTTTACTTCGGCCTGGACTGGCAGGTAAAGGGGACATTTTGAGATCATCTTCCTTGTACCAAGTTCCCTTTGGCCAGCAAGTGACAAAGGGTGAATTTGTTCCCTCAGGGCTCTTTCGGTTTTGGTGGCGGTCACCTCAGAGGAAGAGTCTAGCAAACTAGATGGTTGACCGACCCAAAAATCCTTTGGAAATCTGCTCCAAAATGATGGTCTGGGTTCTGAATTAAGGACAGCGAACCCTGTGTCCACATCCATCTCAGACCCAAGCTTCTGAAAGCTGTTTTCCCTAAGGATCTGCATTCTGGCCCCAAGTTCAAGGCGGGGAGAAGGCAAATGCTGCTGGGTGCCCATGGCTGAGCTGTTGGCCTGGGCAGACCGGCTGGGGCTTTTCCAGGGGGCATCACCAGAGCTGGCCTCTGACATCCCGCTGGGCTGAGGAAACTCCAGAGAGCGTGTCTTGAACTTCCTGGCCCGGCTTCTCCGGTTCCTGGGCTCCAGGGTTCTCTGAGCAGAAACAGAAGTCAGCCTGGGGCCCTGATGGAATGCGTCAGTTCCCACGGTGCCACTCAGAGGAGGGAGCTCACCATGCCTACAGCCAAGGCCGGGGTTCGACTGGACCTGGAGAACGAGTGGACAAAGAAGACATTTTCTATCGGCTAAGGGCTAAGTACCAAGAGCACCAATACCCCCCACCTGTACCGTGCCACGTCCAGAACAGACAGTCAGCAGAATTGGCTGGACCGAACCTCTCTGTCTGTCTCCCCCTCAAGGTTCACTCTTCTTTTCTTTTCTTTTCTTTCTTAGCAGTACTGGGGATTGAACCAGAGCCTTTGCACTAAGCTATGTCCCCAGTCCCCTGTCCTCCTTTTTGAGTCAGGGTCTGGCTAAGTCACTCAGTCATCTATGCTGGGCTCAAATTTGCAACCCTCCTGCTTCAGCTTCCCAGAGTGCTGGGATTACAGGCATGCACCTGGCTCCCTAAATTAGGTTTTTGACAAGGGCAAGACTTTGAGGATAAATGGCCACTTTGTAATACTGTATTTCTAGTAGATTAAATCATCTAAAGAATGCAAGGACTTTCCCAACATGTCATTCAGTGACCTCTCTGGGTGCTGTAAAGAATGTGTCACCAACCAGGCAGAAAGAAAAAAGCCACGCATCAAGATAAGGACTGAAAGAGGAATTCGATCTCTCAAAGTTGGTGGTCTTTATTTTAGATTATGCTAATAATGATATATCTCTTGGGCTAGTCCAAGAAAATGCGGGCACTCCAGCCACGCCAATAATTCGGCTCCTTTTTAAAGCAAATGTTCCTTGTAGGATACAGGGTAGTTCTGTGTGGGAAAACAAAGGGGGCTGTTTATGTGGAAGCTCTGGAGCTCTAATTCCTGAAAACCCCATTCTGGTTCCAATCTTACAGTGTCAAAACTTGTAAATTCTGATCCCGCAGCACTCAGCAAACCTCCCCTCCCGCAGGAAGCTGCATCTCTCTCCGGAGGGCAGTTCACCATCGCATCATTCACCCTCCAACTCTTGGGAACCTCTCACAGCTCTCTCCCCAAGAGGATGTCGGGAAAGGACAATTTCCTCCACCTTGTTAATGGCCCTTAGATACCGGTATCCAGGACCCATCCCTGCCTCTTCCAGACTTCAGTCAAATACCAAAGAGAATGGTATCGAAGAAACCCAAATGCTTATTGCTTATTGCTATGAAAGAAGCCAATCTGAAAAGGCTACGAATTGTCTGCATCCAACTCCACGGCGTCCTGTAAAAGACAACGAGGGAGAGAGTAAAAATATATGGTACCTGGCAGGGTTGGTGGAGGGAGAGGAGAGGAGGCAGGGCACAGGGGCTTTTTAGGGGCAGTGAAAGTACTCTGCGTGATACTGTAATGGGACCAGCATCACTGCCTGTTTATCAAACCCATAGAACATGCACCACCAAGAGTGAACCCCACTGTCAACCATGGGCTGCAAGTGACAGAGGCCTGGCGGTGGGGGGCTCCTTCCTTGTAGTGGAGTCAGTGTGTGTGCGGGGTTGGGGTGAAGAATTACATGGGGACTGCACTCTCTCCTTACTTTTACTGTGAACTAGCACTGCTCCAAAAACCACCTATTTAAAGGGGAGAAACAAAGAATTGTACATATTTATCTCTCAGAGCAAGAAATCCGAAATCATGACAGTGAAAAGGCAGGCCTAAAATGAGTTGACTGCTGTACACAGACGCAAAGTATCTCCATTTTTGCTCTGATAGAAATGGAGAGGTGATGACTATCCAAGTGCAAAAACGAAAAGAATAGTGGAGACTTCGGTTGCTCCCTTCAGAAGCTGACAAATACTTGCTGTAAAGGGCCATGTAGTAAATATCTGAAGTTTTCTGGTCACATGGACCATATCCCAGACCCTGGGCTCTGCCACAAAATAGTCATAGGCAAGACATAAATAAATAATGAATGTGGCTGAATTTCAGTGAGACTCTATTTATGAACGCTGAAATTTGAATCTCATAATTATCATGTATCATAATTTTTTCCAACTGTTTAAAAATGGAAAACCATTTTTAGCTTCTGGGCCATAATTGGCCAGTCCGTGCTCTCTCTCAATCAATGATTCCCATTGTCTCACTCTCTTTCAGAATAAGAAGTCTTTTTTCCCAAACAGAGTCTTAGCTGGAAGCTAAAATACTGCAAACAGAGCTGGGGCTGAGGGTCTCCCTGCCCATGGGGCCGCCTTAGTTCTCCCCATTGCTTCCCACTGTGGCTGCCGGGCCCCCTCACCAGGGGACTGTGTATCTCAGAACAGTTTGAAAACTACTCTTCTGGAATCTCTAAATTCTGCCCCTGGAAGCCTGGGGTTCCCAGAGAGCTGTGCATTGGAACCAGCTGGGGGTCACCAGACCACACTGCCACCCAGATCCTGCCCTAGACTTTCTGCTTCTACCAGGCCAGGGTGCCACCACCGGGGCATCGGGAAGTCTCACACCCCCCAGAGTGGCTCCAATGCATAGCAAAGTTTGAGATCCACAGTGGGAAAGACGCAGAGATCTGTGCCCTACAGAGTTCACTCGTGGCCATGGGAGTTTGTGCCTCGTAATGTAGAGCTGATCGCCTGCTCTCATTTCTGTAAATTCTTTCGCCACCTAATTTCGTTTTGCACTCTCTCCCTTCATTTCCCTTTGCTCTCCTTTGCTCCCTCCCTCCTTTCCTTCCATCCTTGATGCCTTCCTTCCTTCTACCTTCCCTTCCTGTCTTTCCTCTTCATCTGCTAGTTTTTAGCAAGGAATATCTGATTACATGTTGATTGAGTATTCTTGGTCTAAAATGCTTGGGGCCAGAGGTGTTTCGCATTTTTTAATTTTCTCATGTTTCACAATATTTGCATATACATAATGAGATATCCGGAGCTGAGACCAAAGTCTGAATACAAAAGTCACTTATGTTCCATATACAAGTAACCTGAAGGGATCTGACACATGTTTAATGTATCTGCACTTTAACTGTGACCTGTCACATGAGGTCAAGTGTGGAATTTTCCATTTGTGGTATCATGGTGGCACTCAAAGATTTCAGAGTTGGAAGCATTTCAGATTTTTGGACTATAGATAATCAGCCTACGTCACAAGATGTGATCCTAACATATGGTGAATGTTTACTTTTTAAAAATTTTCTACATTAAAAGCATATTGCCATTAATCTCCCTGAAAATACTCCCCTAGCTTGGAACACACATCCCATCATTCCGGCTACTTTCTGAAGCTGTTCTAAAGCTCCCTTTGAGTCTTGGGTTACACTGTCAGCTGGCTCCGGGTCCTGAATTGATTCGAGACATTTACGTTTCACTTCATGGTCATTTTGACTTTGAGGAAGAGCCAGCAGTCACGCGCTGCCAGACCTGGTGAAGAAAGTGGGAGAGGACACATGGTAATGTTTTGGTAAGCCTGTCTTTCCGCTGTATGGCACTTGCCAGTAGCACTCACCATAGTTTTTAACCACACCTTATAAAGACCCTCACGAAAAGGAGCGCCAGAACTGCTTCAGAAAGTGGTAAGAACAGGGAGGGTAAGTGTGTTCAAAGCTAGAGGAGTATGTTGAAGAGGATGAACAGCAATGTGTCTTTTACCATAAGAAAATTTTTTAAATTTAACCATTTACCATATATGCTGATCATATCTTATAAGTAATAATTGCTCCCTATAAAAATAATTTGGCTGTACAAATATCTAAAATAAAAGGTAAAGGCTCCCACTACACACACATCAACCTCATGTCACCCCAAACTCTTACTTTTTACAGAACATCTTGATTATCTTTGCAAAACTAGAGAGGAAAAAACACTGCCTGCCATCTACAAGCCAGAATCTCTTTTCCTTGAAGAACAAACGGCTTCGGTTCTTTAGGGCTCTGTTGCCATCTCTTCCTCAGGGGAATCACCAGACACCTTTTTATTTCACCCAATGAAGTCCTTTTCTTGTAGGGCAGGAAATGGGCACCATGTTTTTTCATATTCAAAAGTAATTCTGGGTTGATATAAGACCACCTTGGTCTAGAGAAAGAAATCCGTAAGTTTAACTCTGCTGCTCCTACTTCATATTCTGACAGCTTTGATCAGCAAGAGAAGCCAAATTCGACCAGCTCACCTAAATAAGTCTCACATCAGAGGGAAATTCATCCTGAAGCCACACCTGTGCTGAAACATTTCAGGGCAGCCACGAAGAGCCCCACCTGAGCCTCCGGAGTCAGTGGGCCCCACTGAGCCAGCCCAGTGTACACCTCACTCTCCCGTGGTCCCTCAGGCCCATGGCCCTTCCACAAGATCATGATTCCCTTAAAACATCCTGCCTCTGCTGAGTGTGATGCCACACTCTGGTCATCCCAGCTAAGTGGAAGGCTGAGGGAGGAGGATCCAATGTACAGTCAGCCTAGGCAACTTAGTGAGCACTCATGCCAGCAGCTCTAGGATTCAGTTTTCCATTACATCTGTTCTTCACCAGTAATTCCATCCCCTACATCCTCTCTCTCCCTCTCCAGTCCTCTCTGCCTTTTGTTGTTGTTGTTGTTTGTTTTTCTTTCTTTTCTTTTCTTTCTTTTTTTTTTTTTTTTTTTTTTTTTTTTTTTTTTTTTTGTGGTACTGGGGATTAAACTCGGGACCTTGCCTTTGTGAGGCAGGCAGCAGAACCACTGAGCTAAATCTCCAGCCCCTCCTCTGCCTTGTATAGCCATCCAAGTCAAAAGATACAGCTTCAGCCATGTCCTTGCCAATACCTCCCACTCCCCAGACTACTCCCTTTCTGTGGTAAATTCCTACAAAATCTTCCAACCCTAGGCTGGAGTCACTTTTTTTTTTTTTTTTTTAAAAAAGGAGCCAAATGATTGGCCTGGCATGGTATCCAGCTCTACCCAGGCTGCCCTCTGGTCTTGTTCCCTCTGTCTTTCCTCCCTATCCCACAGCAGCTGTTCCTAGCTCCCGGAACCATCATGAAACCTTTAGTCGCATGATGTTCCCTGACCTCGCATCAGGTGGTCTCACCATGTAGATTGCTGGGAAAGTAAGAGCCGTCATTAGTTAGCAGCTGTCTCAGCCTGTTACAGCTTGTGTTTAGATGTTCTCCCAAGGCCTC